TCACTCAGAATTTTTCATTTTTAACACTTCTTTTTTCCGTAATTTTACATGTTTATTATAACAAGCATTGAATTATATGGCGAATGAAACTGTTATATATATATATGTATATGTATACCCATTCTTTTAAATCTGGTCGCTAAGGTCTGTAATGGGAGGTATGTCTGTAATGTTCTCTTCCGTTGCTATGGTCTGTAATGGGGGCCTGCCTGTAAGGGTGGGGTGAGCCGCGAAACCTTGACCTTAAACCTGTCACTCGCTATTTTCTTCGAAAATATACGTGAGTTTCACAAAATAGGAGAAATAAACTCCTATGAGCAACACCAAAATATCTTTTCATTCATTTCAATAATGAAAATGCAGACTTGTGTAAGCTCTCATGTTGTTTCATTTCTTACTTGTCTGAATGGCTCGTTTCTATAACTACCTGAGAGAAAAAACAAATAACTGTAAAGAAATCAGTGTCTTTTGCCAAAATAACAAAGCACAATTGGTTGTTCGGAACAGAAAAGAGAAGAAGTACACAACACAGATGGCAACCAATGCAATTTCATTACCATTAGTGGACTAGAAAAATATTTGTATTTGCTTCGGGTTGTTTATTGAGCTGAAATATTCATGGTTAGGCTTCTGAAACGATGCCATGCTGCGCGGAGTGAAGAAAATACTTTTTTCAGCTTAATATGCAAAAAATCGCGGTTTCGTTAGATAGTCACTGTGCACAGCGAAAAAGATTTGGTTGTGATCATGGATGTAGGTGAAGAACAGTTCTAAATTTACAATCGCATTCTGTCTAGGGTTTAGCTGCCAAGGGTGACGCTTCATTATTGCTTAAAAATCGATGCATTGTTCTGGCATAAATCGAAATAGTATGAGTTCTTAATGAATAAAAATATGCTCCAGTATCAACTCCGTCATTTCACATGCTGCTGCAGCTATTTTCATTGTGCTCTCTCACATTTAAAATCATTGACTGTAAGTGTGCATTTTTCTCCATGGACACTCACACTCTACATATTGGTAAAATATGGGGCACAAACGAGGGCATCACTCAGAAATGTTTCGTCATAAGAACGCTAGTTTCGCCGCTAATGACCATACAAACTAATGATCTGATTGGTCGATGTCAGATGTAATACTATCGACTACTTGTTTTCAACATGCTATAGATCATCTAAGAAAAATATCGGATTGAATAATTAATAGAGCTTTGATCAATAACTATCTAAAAACAACAACTGATTAATCTATTATGAGGCTAAAGATGAGATCTTAGCTATTTAAATACTACCCAACTCAATAGAGACCAGATATCGTTTGATATACTTATCAGATGGATACATCTGAATCTCTCAAATGATCGAGCACATCTGAAAAGCTGTCTTTCTTTGCATGAATAATAGCCATAAGCTATGAATTGTATTCTTCCTTTTGTCAAATTTCTATTAATGCGATTTACGATGGTAAAAACAATGCAAGAGGAATGGGTGATTATTGAGATCTCTGTTCAGAGGTGATCCGTATACACATGATGAATTCAACTCGGAAAAGTTTCTATGAGATCATTTCTAGAACAATCACCATCGCATACGATAGAGCAGACAAGTCTTTCTATTTGCCCGCCTACAATTTCATGGATTATGCCATGTGGATACACTTTAGCTGCTGTTTAATGACCGTTTGGATACAATGAGTACCTTGCGGCTCAAAGTTGGACATGTGGCCAACTCGAAGCCGATTGGCACGATGCGACAGTCTATCGGAGTGATGATCATATGGCTACCACATCGACACAATCTGTTGATTCGTCCACGACCATAACCGGCGGAGATGATCTCTCATAGAGAACATAGAAAAAGGGCTTTTGCACAGCGTTAGTCATTCTCTATGCCACTCACACCCAAACTAATAACACTTGACCCTGACTATCAAGTATCGGAACCGTGGCTACCAATGATCGTCAACAGAAGCAATCCAACGATCAGCTGTGTACTACGAGGCAAGCACTGCGTTTCAAATCACAAGGAGGGCACTAGAACTTGAGAACCCCAAGCGGCAATAACAATAATGGACTTCACATATGAGACAGATGCTGCTCGGCCTGGTGGTCTATGTCTTCTCTTCCAGTACTGATCAGTAGAAACTCTTTTGGTTCTATTATCACAAAATGCGGAGAGGCCATTTCTACCAACCGGTTTTTTTTGTACATTTTTTCCAAGAGACCCTATCAGCCCAAGCAAATTTCTTCTTGTTTTGTGTTTCTCTTTTCTTTCATCCATGAGACTCATTTAGCCAACGGCGAGTTTCTCATTTCTTTTTTTCCCTCTGTTTTCGCTTAAAATTCCTTCTTCACTTTTGTAGATCTTGATACCGCGACCCGTTAAGTATCACAAAATCTATTCGCCAAATAAAATCTATACAAATAAACAAAAAATTTCTTATTTGCAGCTCGACAGATAATTTCCGAATGAGGTATATTTTTCGAGGCAGCCATCTACTTCTATTTTCGGAAAATCTACATAAACTCGCATCCTTACTCACCCACATCCTCAGAGCTCGTGTCTTTTTTTAGATTGAAAATGAACGTTGATTTTTTTCATCAAAAAAACATGTAGTGATTTTTTTTCATATAGCATTGCTTTGGTATTCATCAAAAGAAAAGGCTTGTCTTTTCTTTTTTATTGTGACTATTGAAAAGAATATAAGGACTCTTTAAACAAAGCCTTCTAAGCTCTCCTGAAAATTGTATTATATGCAAATCTTATATTTCATATTCTAGTTTGTAACGTTAGAGAAAGTAAACGTGCAGTCTCTATGGTAGGTGCAACACATTCTTGTGTAGACGTTTTAGAAAATAAGATTTTCATTTATCTGTTCAGAGTAAGGGAAGTCAGTCTAATAGTGTCCTCATCAATAAATACAGGGCTAAACAAGCTGGTAGTTTGGGCAGCGATATCAATGCTTCTGAGTGTAATGCATCCACTAAATCGCATCAAACTCGATTAAGTGATCGATCCTCAGTATCGAATGGCAATCGAAGTATATGGTCATCTAAATCAAGTAGAAATATTTTACATTTTAATCCAGTATTTGAATCATCAGCCGAAGTGAATACCAGTGTATGGACGACGAAAGAAGACAAATTAAATATCAATACTCAAAACAAATCCGTATTAGATAAAATGACAGAATTTTTCAGGAAAGGTTTCATTTCTGTATTCTATAGATGTTTATGATTTGTATTATTTTCTTTTATAGAAAGCGCAGTGCTTGTTTTTCGCCAACAACATGCAAAAGTTGCTGTTACGCCTGTCTAGTCGGTTCTCTGTTAGGCACTATTGCTCTCGCGACAGTTTTAACAATATGGTTAAGAGGTAATTCATGATCATCGATAATTAGACCTCATAGCAGCTATATTGAATCTATGGGGGTACGAACACCGTCCACTGGCATTCCGTGTCTGTACTAGATAGTTTTCGTTTGCAGTCACTTTCATAATTCAGAAGGGTCAGTTTTTCGTGACGTTGACTACTAACATAGGTTATGTTAGGTTCACGCATGACCTTTTTTTTTAGAGCTAATTTGTCTAGAAATATATTCCAATACTAATTACATATGCTCTAAGTAGAACTTGACGTGCTCTATCAGTTACTAAAAACCTTATCTCGATAGCACGTTCTGTTGACGAGAAATCCTTATTACACCTGTGATCATGGTTACTAAGGTGATATATCATAGAAACCTTTTTTGTTTCTGTCGGCTATAATAAGATATATCGATAAATGACTTTCAACATTCGATAGAACTCGTCGAGTTGTACATGGATTATATCGAACTAGTTTTAGAATATGTTTCTAAAAGAATCGTCAATGAAAAAAGAGGTCGATACTGGATTTAACATAACCTCGGTGCTTATTGCGCCAATAAGTGCGTAAAAACGGAGTATCTTTTTAAAAGAGCACTAAACAAACAACATGGAGTATCATGTTGTTATAAGAGGCACTATTTAAAGGTGGATCTTTGAACTCAATATTAAGTATTTTATATTTTTGTTCGTACAGAAACTGTGAAATCTGGAATTCGACACTAAATTTACTTTTTTGCGCTTATATTCATCTTTAAAGGAGAACGCTTTGGACCGATTACATTCGAACTCAAACTCACCTACTGTGTGGTTAAGACATCAAAACTTTTGGTGAGATTGTATGACTATAAAACTTCAATCAGTTGTTCAATCATGTCATATCGATTTCCAAAATCTTTATGGCTGAGCGTCAAATACATATAGGATTTTAGAAAACTTGATAAAGGAAAAAGAATGGATAGTTAATACCCAGCAAAGAAACTAATTATTATAGTATTCAGTTTTTTGTATTACCATACTTACATAAGATCTGGTTTTAAAAAAAATGATAACAATATTTTAATGCAATTCTCAAGATAGTTGGCGCAGCACTCGTATGATTCTTTTGATAAGTTTCTACATATTGCAACAAGAATATCACAGTTTTGTCTTAGAGGACATTTTTTAAAATATGGCTCATGAATATATGGATGTGTTCGTGAATACACCCATAGTCATACCACACCCTCTTATTAACAACATAGTTTGTTCATATAAACAGCGATTTGCTTCATATGAGTTACAGAATTGTCATGTACATTACTAGATAATATCATGTCGAGAAAGATTTATCTTATTGGTTGTAGGTGTAACGACAGTTACTACTATGAGCTCAAACAGTACAACAATTACAACTACAACCACAACCAGTGCAACAACTACTACCACAACCACAACCAGCACAACAACTACCACTACAAGCACAACCACTGTAACAACTACAACACAGACAAGTGCGTAAATATTCCCAACTATATTCTACCTCTGATCTAAGAAGTTTATTTCAGCAACTGTGTGCAGTCCAACTGGTCATGGCAATTTGCTTACTCTGAGCGGTTCAAATCCAAGTTCATGGACCCAGTATAATTTTACCTACATGGCGACGACTACATCAGCGATTATTATGTTCGGATTTCAAAATGGAAATAGTTATGAATATTACCTGGATACAGTGTCTGTTGTTGATAATAGTGCATCTACAATTCAATTGCTCAACAATCCAAACTTTGAAAATTCAACAACAACAGCAACAAGCTGGGTTCAATGGTGTACAAGCACGTGCAGTAGTGTCTCTGGACAGATAACCAGTGGTACAAACTGCTATTTACCAACTGGCAATTGCTTTATGGACGGCTGTGACGCTCCAGGTATTGACTTTCTCGGTCAATCATTTTCAACGCTAATTGGACATAATTATACAGTTTCATTTTGGTTGAAATTAAGTAATGGAGGCTTTCCCAATGCTAATCGATTTTATGCTGACATTGTCTAAATATTATATAGTTTTTTTCTTCATGAATGGCGCCAGAAAAACCGGAAAAATTCTAATGCATAGAAGAATAATCCATTCTTTCATGAATTGCCCTATATTTGCGTTCTTCAATAAATGTTTCACCGCTAATAAATGATCTTTTTTCTATTTTATAATGCCAAAGGATGCAAGCAACTTCAGAGTTGTCCTGACTGTGAATTTAATGTGCTTGTTAGAAAGTATATAAATATATATTGAAAACTTGATTTTCGAATTCCAAATCACCATTCGATTCAAAATATAGATCAGATCTCTAACTAATTAGTTTAAACTAGAAATCAAAACGGAAACAACTGATTCTCATATCCCATTGATTTCATCTTGAATTGCTTGTGATGACTGGCATCTACTTCATTGTATGTTAGCCCAAAGAACAGTGTTTACTAAAACGACTGAAACAAGATCAAGACAAAAAAAAACGAAACGTATGAGATTTTACCTTCGTGATCATTTGTTTTTCGGTCAATCAATATATCACTTCATATATGACGATTGAGAAAATTTCATAGAATTTCTATGAATAATATGAACAAATCCTATAAGACGTCAATAAAAGCTCTCCTGGTTTTGTTTGATGCAATCGACTTCATTTTTCTCGTTTAGATTGTAACGAAAGAAAATGAAACAACTCTCCAAACACATCTTACTCATATACATTTCTCTTATGCGAAACTTGACTAAGTTCTAAGACATCCTTGAAAAGTTTCCATTGCAAACAAGATCAAAGAAAACTGATATTACCAAAAATCGTATTAAAAAAAACGTTGCCGAAAAGAAAGATCGCCAAGATGAGCATTACCGAAATAGGGATTATTAATATGAAATTCACTGCGATACATATTGTCGAATGCCTCTCGACCATCCACGTTCATGAGTATCGTTTTCAGGTATCATTCCCCAAAAGCACACTTTCTAAATATCTATCATATATATTCATATATATAACAACTTTGTAAGTATGATGTGTGCATCACACATACTGTAAAAGACGTTCATTCTAGGCCGAAACATTTTGTTGTGAGGTAAATGATGGGTCGTAATGTACTCTGTCAGAAGTTTATCCTAAAGATTTCATCTCTTTAAGTAAAACCGGAAGAAAAATTGATGTTTCTGTAATGAGTTCGCTATAAGAATAAGTGCACTATCCAACTAAATAAAAATAAAAACATAATATGCTCTGTAGCGATACACTAAAATGAAAAAACGAAACAAAAGCACAAGGAAGCCATCTGGTTAGCTTGATTGATACACAAGAAAATAAGGTGTGGAGAAAGCTTGAGATGAAGTAGAGTGCGAGATATTTCGAGATGATGTCGATGAAGAAAAATGTGATTGTTAATTTCAATCAGCTCTTGGTGTGTCTTCTTGGCTTGCTGTCTTACAGTAAAATCGCTCTAATGTCAGATAACTTTTACCCAAATCTGGTTGATTTTCTTTTTTTTTTGAACTGATGTCAGTTTCGTTTTGTATATTGCTTAACTCTTTTAATCGATGAGCTCGAATATGTTCACCGTCTAGGTAGTTTTTGTGATCCCGTGGATGAACGAATATGTATGGAGAATGTTGGCCGCATTATAATCCTTGACCAGCATAAGCTCAAGTTCTTCTTGCGTTGCAATGGTCGCAGATATACAGAAAGAACTTTTGAAGATTAAAAGAGGTACCAGTGGTTGAACAAGATTTGCACTGTTATCTGTAGTCGATCCGTTCATCAGACATTATGAATGTGATATGCGTTTAACTAGTAGTATTGGTGAAATATTTGTCTTTGACATTCTCTCATTGTGTTGGACAATATATGAGCTGTTCCTAGTCAAATATTTGAAGAATGATAGAAAAAAGTATTCTCTTTGCAATTCTGTTGATAAGGTGATATAATTAGAAACTATTTCTTTTTCGTTACTTCACTGCTTTGAAGATGAATCATCATGTTTTTTTGTCCAAATAGTAGCAGAACGAAAAAGAAAAATATTTTCTTTGCTTCACTACATTGTAAAAAAAACACAAAACAACCTATTCAATTGATACTCTATTCACGGTTTACGGCCAAGACCTATCAGAATATTCAGCAAAAAAAAGGAAAAACTTGCAAGTCATTTTAGGTCAATATCGATTGTCAAATGAAAGAGAGAATCGTCGAAAAATCTCGCGTGATCTTTATTCAGAGAAATAAAATCGATAGTACTGTTTGAAATAGTAGACGATATTTTTATAATTGTATATAAAATATAGCATGGAGCTCATTGGTGACATTGCAAAAATCAATTGATTGCATTCTATTCAACAAAAACCTTGTATGTACATATTCATCGACAACATGAACAGTAATATGAGAGAATACAATATTCTGATCTGTCACTATTCCCTTTGCGCATCTCTGTCAGACTAATTATGTAATGCCTAATTGTATTAAATTCTGTCTCATTCTTTATCCAGATCAATGCATTCGTTTCTCGTCTTTGTCAGGTTTTTTTTCTGAGTGTGAAACAGTAATATGTATGTGCTGATGTGGCTGTAGGCATGTGTCTTCACTTCAGCCACACACACTAATATATGAAGGTTTTTTTTAAACTTATTTGATGGATAAGATAAATTCGTCCTCAATGACCGATTTTATTCGTTCTGTGACAGTTATTTATCGTGTCTTTTATTTTTCTGCATGTTAGTAGTACCAATGAAAGAAAGAAAAATAAGAATCAAACAATAGAGAAAATATTTATAAAAAAAAGAACAACAAATTTGATTTTACTAAAATAATAGTGTTGAATCAAAATGATATTTTATCAAGAGATATATCTTATCTGGATTTTACTGGAACTATTTCTTGCCATGAATCATTTACACAAATCAAGTAACAAATATTATCTAATAGGTATAACGATTTAGAAGTACGAGATATTTTTTTTTGTATTTTCTTCAAAAGCAAAAAACAAACACTTGATTTCTCATTCGAAAAAGTTAGTCACATAACTATACTTTGGAAAACTTTAAATTGTCCGTACTGATGTTGATATCATCATTCGCTGAGCTTCCTTCGTCTCCTGATTGTTCTTTCCTTTACTCATTTCTCTTTCTCTTGCTATCTTCTATATAAGCATGTGTTGTATGTGAACTAATTACATTCTAGAGATATGAAATAGTTTCATAAAGGTCATTTCCGACGATGATGGTAAGCTATTCTTCCAATGTTTGAGATTTCTCCCTTTCAACCTACGATTTTTGTCTGATTACATCAATGAAAAAAAATGAAACATTTTTCTATCGATCTCTTTGTATTCTAATATGAATTAAATCTTGATTGAATTTTGTTTTGTTTAGTGATTAATAAATCCCAAGTGTCTCTATTAACTGATCAATGGAATTATAGCTTACTTGATGGTCTTAGTCATTTAATCAATCTAATTTTTTATTCGCCAACTACGATTGGTTTTCCTCTCTATTTTCTTTGGTTATTCTTATTTGTCAATGATGTATTTAATAAGAATATTTTTAATTTCAATTTATTAAATCAAAATAATGAAAATGTGACAAGATTTAATGATGATAATAGAATAAAAGAAAAAAATTACGATGTTTCTCAATGGTTGTCAACAGAATATAAATTAAATAATTCGAATTTGGATGCTTATAGAAAAGAAGCATTTAAGACAATGATTAATGTTATTGGTCATGTTGCAAGTTTCTTTCTTGGCATGAATTTAATTCAATCAACTTTTTACAAATTAATATCAATAATTTTCATGTTTATTCTATATCAACGTATGATCATATCGAAAAATATTCATATAACTTCAAAAAAATTAATTTTCATTTGAAATCAATCTTCATATTTACAATATTTTCATGTATAAAAACAAATGACGTATAAAAATAATTTCGCAACAAAAAAAAAAATCTAATGATTAATTTATCCAAATAAAGTTTAGATAAATCTTTTTTGTTTATAGGCAAATCTGTAAAGTTTGAATAAATAAAAATTCATATTCTTTTCAAAACTTCCTATTTATTTTAGTAAGTAAATTTTAATTTCGACAAACTTGATAAAATACTTGACAACACATAATAAACAATAGTATTTTTATAATTATTATTCATAGTAAAAAAATATTGCTTAATATCCGTTCAAAAAATTAAGATTTTTTGCATAAAATGTAAAAATACATAAAAAATGATTTTTTTTTATTAAGGATTTTGCATTTTGGTAAATATTCGATCTAAATAAAATTTCTTTATTTTTTTAAAATTGTAATCGAAGAAAAAATGGTATTCATGTACTTCATTTCATTCTATTTCTGTCGTTGTTCTCTTTTCTTCGATAAATACAGAATTTTTTATTGTCTCTTATGATTCAAACAGCAAAAAAATAATTGACAGACCAAAATAGAACAGAATTCTGTTTTTTTTTTATATATCTTTAAAAAAAAACAAAAAAAAAATAAGCCGAATTGCTACTTGCCTTCTATATGTTCTCGCTGACGAAGAATACTTTCGCGCTTTGTAGTATAGAATACTGCCCGAAGACAGTTTCCTTAGGCCAATATTTGACCTCTTACTAGCTGTAGCTCTCAATACACATTCATTAACGACATCTCAACCATAATAGCTGTTCTAAGTCACTATGTAGCTAACATGCTATCGGATGAGTAATCTAACGTAAACAAGGTTTTTATGGCTTATTCAACATCATTTTATGTTTGGTCATGCCAAAGCTCGAACACAGTATATTTTTGAAAATTTCTATAAGGAAATTTTTTTTCTCATATAATCACTTATATTAACTTATTACTAAGTTTACGAAATTTCCACGTTCAAAATATATTCATTCTTTTCTGCTAAAGTATTCAAAACAAAAACCAAAGTAAACAAACTCTTTTCATTTTGCTAGAAATGTTGTTAGTCTTTTGAATAAATCAATCTATATCTAAACATGTTTTCAAAGAAATAGTTGGATAATCATGAATTTAGCTAGTAGATAGTTTTGTTTTTAATCGTTAATAAATGATATAAAATGAGAACTATAAAGTCAATTGAAGTTTGATGAATTTCTATCAATAAAAAAAGAAAAGGAATTGTACTCAAATATTTGTAACGATTATTGTTTATACTGATGATTGACTGTAAAATATACTAAGATTAAATGTAATTGTTTTTTTATTGTTATATTCAATAAATCAAAATAAATTTTCTTGATGATTAGATAATTGTTAAAATTTTTTCAGGATCTGTTTTTTTTTTTTTTATTATAAAATAAATAACTAAATCAAAAACAATGCTGACAAGTTAATAAAATCGAATAGAAAAATAATTCTTATTTTTGACATGTTTATTTTTATCTCAAAAAACAAATTTCAATTGAGTAGTCAAACAATGTTGTCGTTTATATTTACATAGATCTTTTGCTATTCTCTTTATGTTCATTTTTGTCCTCTACTTTGTTCTATTTCATCGTTCAGAACAGCACTGAAAAAGAAAGAAAAAAAAACTCAGATGATTCCTGTGACACACATTAATATCGAAGAAGAGACAAGGTCATTAAGTATAAATCTAATCAATATAAGAAAATATAAAGTATAAAGTATTTTTTATAAATGAGTAATAATCAATCCGACGTTAAAAGTAAGCTATTTAAGTGCAAATTTTTTTTTGCTGCAATTAACAAAGAACGAAAAAACATGAAAAAATTTTCTCAAAAAAATTTGTTCATCAATATTTATTATAAGGACTGTAGATGAAAATATTTTGTTTTTCAATCCGTAGATTATTTAAAAAAAATAAATTTTATCATAGATAATTTGAATATATATTTTTAAAAAAAATATTTTCATCAAGAATAAATTAAATTTAGTAATTTAATCTCTATAAATATATGCAAAATTATCTTTTCGAATAAATATAGACAACAAATAATCATTAAAATACGAAATTCAAAAAAAAAGCAAATGATATTTACGAATAACAAATATTTATTTGAATTCTTTTTTTCTATTTATATTAAAGTGTTAAATTCAACAACTACAAATGGTGATCAATTATCTCAAAATAAAGAAATAATTGATGGAAAATGGTTTGGATTTAGTTCAATACAAGGACATCGTCCATCAATGGAAGATTTTCATCAACATTTAACACATTTAGCTGATCATCATCTATGGAAAAAATATTCTTATTTTTCTATATTTGATGGTCATTCAGGTATTTAACAATAAGAAAAAGTTTTTTTGTTTTTTAAATAAAATTATTTATTGTCAAGGTTCTGGTACAGCACATTATGGATCTAATAATCTTCATATTTATCTTGTACATGAATTAAATCGATTAATTAATCATAAAGAAAATCAATCTGATAATAACAAAATTCGCCGACGAAAATTTCGTCATGCAATAAAAAAAGCTTTTATTAAACTCGATAAACAATTGAGAAAAATTGATTATGATAAAAGTGGTTCTGTTTGTGTAAGTTTTTCAATTAAATATATTATCGTTATTATACATCTAATACATATATAAATATAAATAGATTGCTTGTCTAATCGGTCCAAAACAAATTTATTTAATAAATGTTGGTGATGCTCGAGCTATTATTATTTCAGATAATGGAGAAGTATTAGCATCTACTCATGGTAATCATTTATTGATTTGTTTGATTTTCTATTAATATTATTTTTTTTAGATCATAAACCGGATGATCCAAAAGAAGAAGAACGTATTCATGAAGCTGGAGGTCACATAACACAAAAATCATCAAAAGATATTTCACGTGTTGAACGACGTCTTGCAATGACAAGAGTTTTAGGAGATTTTACTATAGATAAAAATGTAGTACCACCTATTCCTGATATAACTATTTATCCTCGAAAATCATCCACAGGATTTATTATTCTTGCATCTGATGGTATTTGGAATGTTATGTCAAATGAACAAGTTGCTTCATTTGTAGTTCAACGAATATCAACAACAATAAAATTAGATAAAATTGCATCACAATTGTTAGATCATTTTTTAGAAAAACAAAGTCGTGATAATATGAGTGTATATATTATCAAAATTTGATTTATGAGCAAAATATACAGCTAAAAATTGTCTACATTCTATTGTAGTATAAACCAGCATATGTTGTTTTATTTTGTTTTCTATTTTGTCTTTATGGTTGATCTCATATTGAACAATTGTTAAAAATAAATAAATAGATAAAATTATTTTATTTATTTCTATTCTTCAATAAAGGTATATCGTAAGTTTTTCTATGATTAATGGCATGGAAGTTAGTGTAGATATATCCATCAATATATATAAAGAAAAGTTAAACTAATCAAGGTTTTAGAATTATTCTTTTCAGATTCTTCTTTTTCTTTTTTCATTGATTTACTACAACGAATTCTAATGTTGATACAAAGATGAAATAAACAGATTATCAAAAGGCTCATTTTAACAACCACAAGACTTCATAACAGACTGGGACAAATATTACTGATATACGAATATGAACGGTATATCAATCATGTCTTGTTATAATAAATGATTTCCTTCGTTATTGCATTTCTGAAGGATTAAGTAGAAGAATGGTGAACAACTGTATTCCACAATAGATGTAGAGATTGCGCTGACAGCTTTTTTTTGTAAAGATCATGTATTATCTCTTCTAGCAAATTTCTCAAGATTCTATTTTGTTCGATTTGTTTGTCAAAAAGAAAACTATTTGACTGATTTGAAATCAAAATTATGAAGCTTTAACTCAATTTATAAATTAAACACTGTCAGCAAAATAATTTTTCGAATATTCAGATGTACATTAAAGAGGTCGAACAGGTTTCTGTACAATAATATGATTTGTTCAAAATGAAAATAAAACTGTCGGAGTAAAAATGGCGATTTTGCCAGATTTTGTAATATAAAAATATTTTATTATTTTTACAAAAGTGAAATACCATTTTTTTAAGAAAAAATATTTCTATCAATTAAATCCTAAATGGATTATATTTGTATAGATTCATTGATATTTAAAATTATTATTTCATAGGAAAAAAAAAGTAGCAAAATGCGTGTTTTAGATAATTACTAAGTGACTGCTCATTTGTATAAATATTACTTTGAAGAAATTTGCACAAAATCAAAGTAAACAATAAAGATTCAGTTGGAACTTATTCAAACAAAATTCGTGAGTCGATTTATTTCAAAAATGAACTTCTATTTGGTCTCTAATCAACAATATAGAAGATGTTCCTTTGATTCATACTAGGGTAAACAAGAAAAGAAAACATTGTCTACTAATGTTATTTTTGTATAGTGTTCCATTTACTTTTCTTAAGAAGCAAGGTTACTGAGTTCGATTTATTCTTATAATAACACAATAAAAATTGAGTGCAATCTTCTTTTTTTTTTGTCTCAATTAATCTTTCGAAAATAACTGATCTTTATAGTGTTGAAATAATACTCTTAATGGCAGACGAAATATTTGCTGTTCAACGAGAAACGTTTATCTTAAATTAAGAAAAAACAAGTTGAGCTTGAATATAAAAAATAAAAATGAACAAAATAAAAACGATGAAAAAGAATTTTTTTTGGGTGGAATTTTCATTATTGATTACTCTTGTTTTTATTCGTTTGTGTTTCTGGAACACTGCCACTCCATGGATCAATTTGTTCACCAAGAGCATTATGATGTGTGCTAGTATCGTAGGTATTTATCGGAGTTGATCCTTACGTTATTGCCTTGCTGAGTAGACATTGTTTATAATAAACGGAATAATATTAGAATGAATCTAAGGATACTTTCACTAGATGATCGTTAAAGGTGAACAGACAAAGAAAGAAAAAAAAGAAAGCTTTTATCTCTTTATCATCTGTAGATTATGGCGTGCACAAAATGCATCAAGCGAGAGACAGATGGAAAACGATGAATGTAAGTTGAAGAACAACAAATACTTTTACTGGTTAGTTCTATTAAAAAATAGGATATACACTTTGAAAATAACAAAATAAAAACAACTTCAAATGTAAAATTTCATTGACACTTTAGTTTAGTAAATGAATGTTTCGTTTGCTATGAAAGAAAAAGATGTTTCTATTTTTCCTACGATAATAATTTCACACTCTAAATTGATTTATTCTAGCATCTCAGAAACAAAAGCAGTAGATATTCGTAACGAAAAAGGATTTTATATTCTTTCTGTAACACAGAATAAATGTTAAAGATTTCATCAGTAAAACTTTTGGTCTGTTCATTTGTCTCAACCATAAGATTATTTTTGTTAAATCTGTATTATGTGTAAAAATCCAAGAAGATAAGAGCTGGAATAAGATTTTTATTATTTAAATAATTTTTTCTATAAAAAACCGGGGTTAACCACTTGATTATTTTGGTCTTCTGCTTATTTAAAATAAAAAAGCAAATTTATTCAAAAATTTAGGAAAAATCAAAAAACATTGCTTTTTTGTAAGTATTACGGTAGGCCTCATCTTCTTAACGTACGAATGATCTCTTTTTTAGCAACAAAAAGTCTACCTGCAGGTTTCACTTATAATAAAATATTGAAAAGCATGGTAAAAAATGTTGAAAACCAGATCTTTTCTCAACTGGTGATTATTTTATTCAAAATTGGTAAAAAAATTTAAAAAAAAACAGCTTTTCTCTTCTTGTAAAAACCAGCGGTAAACCGAGACCAAGTTCCAATTGAATCTAGTCAAATGTAACTCTCTTTATTCGATTGAACAAGAATCTCTTCACTAACTCTCAACCACGAGGGATAAAATTCACTTGAGTATCGGATTCATATTCTATGCATTTTGTGCTTTTCCAAACTTTATCAATCTCTTTGCATTAGAAGTCTACTAGTTGAAATATTATTTGTATTTTCATTAAAGAAAGTTAGTTTCTATTGAATTATTCTAAAGTTGACAATTTTAGAAGAACAGATACATATGGAGGTGTTTTCACGAACACTTCTCTTTTCACACATCTAGCAGGATTTTCTAGTCTATGTAGTACTTAGCAGGGCTGCCAACAGGTCATTTTTCTCAGTCTGTGATCTGGCCTGACCTTCGAGTTTTTTGATAAAACCGAAAATGCCTATTAAATATTTTTATTATTGTGGATACAATCACACAATATGCAGCAGAAATTGTTCTTATTCAATCACACAAGTCTCGATCATATACTTAGAGCCCCTTAATTTTGACGATGAAAATAAAAACTTTTTCACCAGGTAGAAAATCAAAAGAAACATAATTGCACAGAAAATACTATCTTGTCTATTCAAATAGGCACGTTTTCAAATTAGTATAAAAAGAACAAACAAAAATAGATAAACATAAAACACTGTTAATATAAGTCAAATACATCTGCTTCTTATCTTCTTCTAATGAATGATATTGAATTGTATTGTATTACTAATCATCTCCATTTGCGTTGTATGGAAGAATCATCTATTATTAAGAATAAATATAACCTTTTGAGTTCCCTTAAATTCTCAGGGTTAGGTACTAATTGGAACCTTCACAGGTAACACTAAACTAAAATGCAAGCAAAAACTTTATTTTATTATAATATATATCACTGCCATTCGGCACAAGAAACAGCAAGTTGATGTATTGATAATTCTTTTTACGGCAAAGCTTATGTAAAATAGTGGAAATAGAGGTATAAATAAAATGGTAATCTTAAATTTGAAGCACGTCACTTTAGCATTGATTATCAAAGTTAAAGACTTTAATTTCAACAAACTTACTAAAGTAGGTCAGACTAATATCTTAAAACGCGGTCTGGCTTTGTAGCCTGCAAGCGGCTGGCCAAGTAGGCAGCTCTACCACTTAGAGTTACCAAGCAAGTGGTCGATGTTTTGAACCCTGTTAGTCAATATGGGGATCGAGTTCTATTGGTTATATAGCAGGCGTTTACTGCTTCGTCTGAATGATCAATATTACAGCTATAAATAAATGTAGTTTTGATGATTTATTACTCTTATAATTAATATCCTGATTTGCTAATTGTGATAACAATTGACTTGAAAAAACTTGACTCAATATCAAATATTGAGATTTATTAATTCAAAGACTGCGGAATCAATCCATTTCTCTTCCTAATATGTGTGTCTTCTTCCCAAAAGAAGGTAATTATATCAGCGTTTAATACACAAATTCAGAATCTACTCCCTTCATTCGTTGCTAAGAGAAAAGAGTTCTTTTTTATAATATGCAAGTCCTATTTTGTACTATAGATCCACTTTGAAGCTATTGTATTTTTGTAACTTGATAGACTTAGTATATAGAGGTACGAAAGGTTAAGTGGAACTTTATGCGAAATATAGAGAGATTTTACTTATGACCATGAAAAAATAGTCTTTTTTTCCGTATCAATCGAATTTAGGTTTTTTCAAAGAGGTAAAATCAATAAAAGTTGAATCGAAATTTTCTTTTTCGTTTTGGCCTCTGGTACGAATGCAAAAACCTACAGATTCTCAGTCAACAATGAGATTCAAGTACGAAAACAAAAAGAAGTTCGATCTAAATCAAATAGACTAATTTATAATTGAATTTTTTGCCTCATCAAATACATTTCTGTACTCAAAGAATAAAAATCAAATATATGTTTATTACACAGAATCGAACTGGGGTAACTTGAAAAGAGTAAAAATAAAAATTCAGTGCTGTTTTTTTGCATTCATTCATTATTGGTTACCAATTCATTTTTGTATTGATTTTTTTTCTTCTCTAAGTGGGAAACCTTTCAGAAGAAAGTAGGCACAGGCCGTGAATGGCAAATATACGACGACTAACTGCATCAATGAAGAAAAATAGAGAACAAAAACAATATTTGAAAAAAGGCATTAGTCTTTCACTTTCATTAGCATTCATTCTCTCACTCGTTTGAAATTAAAGACTGTTCACATCAAAGATCAGGAAAAGTTAACAAAAACGAGTCATTAAATTCAAGAAGTGCATGTTGAAAAATAGACTTCCTCATTCGAAACTCTCTCTCTTTATTTATGCAATCATATCTTTTTGAACATATTTTTCATTTCTTCTTCATCCGAATCTATCGCTTCTCAAAACCATATGCGAAGTATCGGTTTTTCTTTCTTGATTCACAATCTCTTGACCTAGTTTTTAGTTATTGTCGTCTTTTCTGGAATATTTTTCATTCCGAAAAAGTATAGAATAAACATAACTTAAAGAAGTATACTTTGATTGAGAAAAAAACTTGTCGTTGAATCTTTTCTTCTTAAATCTTCAGCAGATAAGATCAAAATCATACGCATTCGAATTGTTATAAATTATTCATTCAAATATAAGCTTTGAAGATTTTCTTGTTTTTTCAGTAAGGTATCTGAGATACAAAATTGAAGCAGGAATTTAATTTCCTTTTTTAACATATTGTTAGATAGAGCGCAATGAGCTGATCAAGAATATATGTGTTTTCAAATTTTCGGAATGAGCATCTAATAGGAAGACTTCAGTTTTTCCGATGACCCAATTTCTTTTTTAGTAGGAGGTCAATTGTTTTTGTTTTCTTCAATGTTCAAAACGTTTGTTTCAAATTCAGAATGAAAAGTGAATCTATAAAAGTAATCTGTATATTACTTGCATAGATTCAGTTTTTCATGCTGAATCTCAAATAAAAACAATTGACATATTCTTCAGAAAAAGTAGATCATCGGAAAAAATGAGAATTCTCTCCTTAAAAACCTCATTCGAAAAAGTTAAAAATACATACATTGTTGGTCAACTCATCATGTTGTACCTAATCATATATATATATATAATCTAGTTTAATTTTTTATTTCCAGCATCTTAAATAAATAATAAATCTCTAGCAATAATTATCATCTTAAATTAAAGGTTCAGTTAAGATCAACCAAGACATCCTGTCATGAAAAGTCTTGTCAGGACCCTATCGATTCAAGAAAATGCTCTTAGTCTTCAATTTCTCTTTTCTTCCCCACATTAGGCTCATAAAGAGCTTCTCATTTCGTTTCGCTTCCGATATGTTTTCGCTTAAAATCCGTTCTTCTTTTTTATAGATTCTAATAACGCGATCTGTTAGTACTCACTGAAACTAGTCGACAAATAAAACCTATACAAGTAAACAAAAGATTTCTTATTTACAGCTCGATAGATAATTTCCTAAAAGAATTTATTTATCAAAAGAATCATCTATTCCTATTTCTTTGAAAAAATTTACATACATCCACACTCTCAAAGTGTATACTTCTTTTCAATTAAAAATGAAGAATGAATTTTTTTCATTAAAAAATGCACCACTTTTTTGTGTATAGCATTGTTTCAGTATTCAACAAAAGAAATGGAATGTCTTTTCTCTTCTATTGTGATTGTTGAAAAAAAAATAGAAGCTCTGTAAAGAAATCCCTCTCAGCTCTCTTGAAAAGTGCATTATATTCAAATCTAATATTTCATATTTCATATTCTAGTTTATAACGTTAGAGAAAGTAAACGTGCAGTCTCTATGGTAGGTGCAACACATTCTTGTGTAGATGTTTTAGAAAATGAGATTTTCATTTATCTGTTCAGAGTAAGGGAAGTCAGTCTAATAGTGTCCTCATCAATACCTATCAGGCTAAAAAGACTGGTAGGTTGGATAACAATTTCAACATTCTTGGACATAATGCATCAACTACATCACTTCATCCTCGATCGCATGATCGAGCCCCAGAATCCGACAGCAATCGAAGTACATGGTCAGCTCAAGCAAGCAGAAGTGATTCACATGCTAACTCCGCGTCCGAAGTGAATACTGATATGTGGGCAATGAAAGGAGACAAGCTAAATACCAATACTCAAATCAAATCCGTATTAGATAAAATGACAAGGTTTTCCAGGAAGGTTTCACTTCATTATTTTATTGATGCTTGTTATTGCAGTTGTTTTTTGTTTTATAGAAAAGGCATTGGTTGTTTTACGCCAACAACATGCAAAACTTGTCTTATTGCCTGTTTAATTGGTTTTTTACTAGGCAGCATTGCTCTCGCGACAGTTTTAACAATGTGGTTGAGAGGTAAGTCAAACTTATCGATAATCCTACCTCATAACAGCTATATTTAATCTACGGGAGTACAAACACCAACCACTGATATTTCCGATCTGTACTAGATAGTTTTTGTTGGGAGTCACTTGCATAATTCAGAAGAGCCAGTTTGTAGTAACGTTGACTATTAACGTAGGGTATGCTAGCTTCAGACATGATTTCTTTTAGGACCCGTTCGTCTAGAAACATGTTTCAAAGTTAGTTCCATATGTTTCACGTAGAATTTGACGAGCTCTATCAGATGCTGAAAACCTTATCTCGAGAACATCTTCTGCTATCAAGAAATATTTATTACATGAATGGTCATTGTTATTAACGTGATATATCATAGAAAAACTTTTTTATTTCTCTCGGTTATAATAAGATATATCAAGAAACGATTTCCACCATCTGATAGAGCTCCTGAAGTTCTACTTAGAACATGTTTCTAGACGAATTAGTCCTTAAAAAATAGGTCAAGCCCGAACCTAACATAAGCTACATATCTATGGCGCCAATAAGTAAACAACAACGGAGCATCTATTTAAGATAGCATCGTAAGAAACAGTATGTAGAATCACACTATGATATGAGACACTCATCATAGCTGAATATTCGGATTTCAGATTAAGGTTTTTATTCTTTTGTTCGTACTGGAACTGTGAAATCTGGAATTCGACACTAAATTTACTTCTTTGCGCTTATATTCATCTTTAAAGGAGAACGCTTTGGACCGATTACATTCGAACTCAAACTCACCTACTATGTAGTTAAGACATCAAAACTTTTGGTGAGATTGTATGACTATAAAACTTCAATCAGTTGTTCAATCATGTCATATCGATTTCCAAAATCTTTATGGCTGAGCGTCAAATACATGTAGGATTTTAGAAAACTTGATAAAGGAAAAAGAATGGATAGTTAATACCCAGCAAAGAAACTAATTATTATAGTATTCAGTTTTTTGTATCACCATACTTACATAAGATCTGGTTTTAAAAAAAATGATAACAATATTTTAATGCAATTCTCAAGATAGTTGGCGCAGCACTCGTATGATTCTTTTGATAAGTTTCTACATATTGCAACAAGAATATCACAGTTTTGTCTTAGAGGACATTTTTTAAAATATGGCTCATGAATATATGGATGTGTTCGTGAATACACCCATAGTCATACCACACCCTCTTATTAACAACATAGTTTGTTCATATAAACAGCGATTTGCTTCATATGAGTTACAGAATTGTCATGTACATTACTAGATAATATCATGTCGAGAAAGATTTATCTTATTGGTTGTAGGTGTAACGACAGTTACTACTATGAGCTCAAACAGTACAACAATTACAACTGCAACCACAACCAGTGCAACAACTACTACCACAACCACAACCAGCACAACAACTACCACTACAAGCACAACCACTGTAACAACTACAACACAGACAAGTGCGTAAATATTCCCAACTATATTCTACCTCTGATCTAAGAAGTTTATTTCAGCAACTGTGTGCAGTCCAACTGGTCATGGCAATTTGCTTACTCTGAGCGGTTCAAATCCAAGTTCATGGACCCAGTATAATTTTACCTACACGGCGACCACTACGTCAGCAATTATAATGTTCGGATTTCAGAATGAAAACAATCACAAATATTATCTGGATACAGTATCTGTTGTTGATAATAGTGCACCTACAATTCAATTGCTCAACAATCCAAGCTTTGAGAATTCAACAACAACAGCAACAAGCTGGGTTCAATGGTGTACAAGCACGTGCAATGGTCAACCTGGTGCTGTAACCTTTGATGCAAAATGTTATTTATCAAGTGGCAACTGCTTTAAAGACACCTGCTATGCTGGTACAGGTATTGACTTTCTTGGCCAATCATTTCCAACGACAAATGGGCATAATTATACAGTTTCATTTTGGTTGATATCAGATGGTGGAGGCACTACCATTGATAATCGATTTTACGCTGATATCATCTAAATATTTTCTAATTATTTTGCATATCACGAATTTAAACAATTCTTAAAATTTCAATGAATAAAAAAATCTATTCTTTTATGAACTGCTCGATTATTTCGTTCTTCAATAAATCTTTCACCACAAATGAATGATCTTTTCCTATTCTATACTGTCAAATGATGCAGGCAATTTCAGAGATATAATGACTTAAAACCCAATTTTCTTGTTAGAAAGAATGTAAATGAATATTGAAAACTTGATTTTCAAATTCCAAATCATCATTCAAGTCAGGATAAAGTTCAAATATCTGACTAATTTGAAAACTAATTAAAAATGAGAAGCATCGACTCTTATATTTCATTGATTTCATCATGAATTGCTTGTGATGACTGGCATCTACTTGATTATGTGTTAGTCCAACGAACAGTGTTTACTAATGATACAAAAAGAGATAACATCAAACAATACAATTATAAGACTGAGCATTGATATGGGAGAAAATTATACGACTAAAGAATTGAAAAGAGGCCATGGCAATAAAGGAAAGGTGGGTGTGGGCTTAGGCCTTCTTTTTACCCAACCACACTACGGACATCCACCTCCGCACCATTCTATCAAGGTGTGGGCTCAAGTAATGGAAGACATTACCTACACCAACATTCATATCATTGCGACTGATAAAAGCATTGTCAATTGGACATTACTGATTGTCAACGCATACATCGCTGAGATGGGAACTCATGTTGCTATGTCAATGAAATACGATTGCCCTACACAATAATGTTATTATGCCACCCGTTCTTATCGATCTGCATAATCATCTGATGTAGAATGTTCTTTCGCACTGGAATCCCACTGAAATGTTCCACATTTTCAGCTTGGAAGAGTATTCCATTCATTCTGCATTGAGCTCTTCGATAACTACTATACGTCTTCAATCTCTGTCAGGCTCATGAATGAAGTAATGGGTGATGCAAGAAATAGTGACGTTGACTTCGTTTCTCTCCGTTCGATTATTTCACACATTACTCGTTTCATTTCTTTTTCGTAAGAGTAGAAAGGTAAATAATTTTTATTGAAATCGTTTCTATTTTTTCTTTATTGAAACAGTATGTATCAAGACTTGAGGAAATATAAACATAGAACCCGTTTGTTGGCAAATGTCCATATCAAGCTTCTCATTCATTTGATCATTATGTGACTAACTAGGGCAAAGAGAATGTTCTAGATTGCCATGTATTTTAGTCTATCGTCATTCTATCATTCATTAATCAATCGCAATTAGAAGTGAGCGGTGAAATGCGCCATAACTCGGAAGAAAATAAGAGAATTCACTGACAACTTGCTTTCTTCTCATATCCTATATTAGCAAAGCATCTTCAGAAGAAAAGTCATTCGAATCTCAAATTTCGTTCTAGATAGCATACAAATCAGTAGAAAAAGTAAATTATTCCTTGTTTATTAGTGAAATTTGTTGCTTCTCTGTTATTTTAGGACGAAAAAGAGAATGAAGAAGGTATTGACAATTATATGGTTTCTATTTGTGTTAATGAGTTCTTTCGATTCACTTCGAAGTACTGCAATAAGAAATATTGATGATGTTTCTGAAAGTAATGCAACAGACAAAAACACAACGGGAGTATGAGGAAAATTGAGTGGCTGTAGTTCTTGTATCTAAAGATACAATTCAAACGGTAGCTGCCAGTGTCCGAGTGATTTAGGTTATTGCTGTCAGTAGACATGGTAAAAGGTTTCTATTGATGACAAAGTCCAGTTTAATCTCGACAAATTCTTCTCTTACAAGATCATTTTGCTATCTTTTTGTTTCAAGTTTCATCAAAATAAAATAAAAAGAAGTTCATAATCATCTGATATCAGCTGCATGCCAATGATTATTGAGCGATTAAATTTCTTGCCTACTATCACATTTGAACCAAATATAATTGTTATCACTGATATCATAAAATCGGCGAATGACTTGAAAGGAAGAAAAATGGTTAGACATACTAGTATGATTATTTTCGTCTCCATAAATATAGCTAGACACGAACAAGAAATAGACATAAGACATTGCAACTGAACGATAAAATGCGCAAAAATGTCTCAACATTGCTAGGTGAAGCACATATCGATTGTTTTCTTTATCACTTAATGATTTATAACACACCGAAAATGTTTCTATTAATTCTGTTCTTCTTGACGTATAGTCCAAGTCATGTTAGTAAAAATAATTCGAAATATTTGATAAATGTCATTGTCCCATTTACAGACGAATATAAACGCGTATGATTGAGAATGAGAATGCTCATATGTATCGGTACTTTTAGTAAATTATTCGTGTTTAATGCAGTCTAAAAAAATACTTTAGAACTCATTCATCGTTTATTTGCCGGTTGTTAGTTAAGAAGAAGAGAAGACATTTGCATCTCCAAACATAATGTAAAGAGAATATTCTCTCGATTTGATAAACGCGCTGCATCGATTCATCATTCAATTCTTTGTCTAAAATCGACATCATTGAAAGAATTTCGGTGACTATAGCAATAATAAAGCACTTGTCATGGTTCTGAAGTCTCTTTTCTTGTTCTATTGTTATGTCTCATCACAACAATGCATGTAAATAGAAGACTCTGGTCGATTTGGCACATGAAAGACAACTTTTTATATAAAGCAGTGCATACAGGTGCATCAAGCATTATTTCATTTTATTTCCTGCGTCGCTTTTAAAAGTAAGATGGGTTCTCTTTCAGCAATACAAACGTGCTTTTTATCAGTTAGCCATGTGATTATTACATAAATCGAAAAAAGTGAAAAAGTTTGATTGAATGACAAATTTTGAAACAATGCAGGCAACCAAACTTTTTTCGGGTGATATGCCTATCTTATCATTGATAAAAGAATATTTATCAATGTCCACTCTCTTATATGATGCTCGATATCGGTCCGAAAAACTGAATTCAAGTTGTATGCAAGAGTATTGCATGCACGATCTAGTAAGAGCAAAACAATTGTTCAGTTGAATGTGTTTCTAATAAAATCTTATGCACTCTCCGTTATTCAAAATCTATAAAAACCATGACGTATTTTGTTTGTATACAGTAAAAGTGAAAAAGACGTGTATAACTGACAAAAAAACAATGTTTCACAAATAATATACCTGACAAACGAGCACACATCTGTTTTTTTTTCTTCTTTTTTCTTATCTCACTTTCAACCGTCTCAAACATAAAGAAATTTTTTACCCAAGTGTGTACAACACCATTTATTTACAAACGCACATGTTTCGACTGCTTTCTCCGTAGTATACTGTGATAGTTTATCAGGCGCATGAATACATAGTTGTTTAGAGAGATAACTAGTATTCGTCTTTGTATTTGCAATTGCTCTGTAATGAAGTATGATAAAAACCTTTTTCCATTAATAACAGTATCACTGACTCCTCAGTTATCAATAAAATGTCGTCGCACTTTTACTCATTGTAAAGAGAATTTTCTATCCAAATTCGAATTGATTATTACAAGAGTGGCTAATTTTAAACAGTACACTAACTCGTTCCAATTACATACCAATTGAAATCTAAATGTATGTAAAATATTGTATACGAAATGACGATTTATTTCACTTATATCAAGTAGCAGACAATCCTATTTAATATAAGTCAAACCGAATTAAATAGAAACACTGTTTGAGTAGAATGAATAATGAATAGTAATTTTGAAAGATTTATCGAACAGAAATTTTCTTATATATATATATATATATATATATATATATATATCTAAAGTCTTCATTATTTCACTAAGTTTTCAAGAACATAGAATTTTATGACGGTGATTATTTAGAACAGCTGAACAATTTGAAGTCATCCAATATTTTTCTCGGCAATCTTACAATTTATAAAGAAGAATGATTTTGACGGCGATAATAACCATAATTTTATTTTTTGTGTTGTTTGCATTTATGCATCAAAAGAAAATGCAATCATTGTGGTCGAATAGTTCATTACCAATTCCATTTGTCAAGGAAAGCTATTTACCAATTGTTGGTCATTTCATACCTTTTCTACGTGATAGATCAAAATTTCTATTGAAATGTCAACGCCTCTATGGATCACGATTTGTCATTCAGATATTTTCTCAACGCATGATATTTCTTCTTGATCCATGCGATTGGCCTGCTATTAATCGTAATGTTAACTTATCCTTACCAGCAAGAGATATAAGCACAAAGCTTTTTGGCTTAAGACCAGAATTTATAAGTGAGTACTTTCCTTAAGAATGTGTCTAAGTCAGTTTCGTGTGGAATAACTTGCCTGAGAACTTGAGATTGTTCTTTAAATTGAAGCTGCAAGAATGTATAATACAAAAGTATCCGTACAAATATCACGATCTGCAGCTTTTTAAAATTAGATGTTCTTAGCGATTGTTTTTAAACGAATACACATCATTTTAGTGTTTTTCTCGAATGTTTTTCTGATCTAAATTACAAAATACGAGAATTAAATGTAGAAAACTTCAGACTAATCAAGTTCTCAAACAGAGAGCACGACTGTTGACTGAATGAAGTAGTTTCTAATAAGATCATTTGTTTTTTACTTTTCTTTCGTAGATGACAAAGAAACACAGGACGAATTTCATCGTTTCAATAAACAATATCTTCAAAGTACTCAATCATTAGGTTCTCTTATATCACGATTTGTGAAATGTGTACGCGAGACAATGATGCATGATCGTGCAAACATTGGTGTTCGTAGATGGCAGGAATGTGGACTACTTGAATTGAGTCATCATATGATATTTGAAGCATCAGGTCGTACTCTATTCGGTGACATAAATCCATTGGTGCTTGAAAAGTCATTTTCGATCTTTGATAAGAATATTCATTACTTTGTGGCTTCACTACCTCAATACATACAGTCTTTGTTTCTGCGACGTGAAATTCATGCTCGGAATCAGATTGCTGCCTATTTCGATTCACATCCACATGCACCAAATGAAAGTGAATTTGTTCGACATCGTGCATCTCTTATACTTGAAAAAGATGATCGAAAACCCAATGATTTAGGAAGGTTTCAAACAACGATCTTCTGGGCATCTGTTGCTAATACAATACCGGCTACGTTTTGGTCTTTATTCTATATTCTTCAAGATCGAAATGCACTCGAAAAAATCAATGAAGAAATTCGTACTCATCTTCCTCCTTTTTCTCTATCCGATTGCAACGATCCGAATATTAATTTGTGGACATATGACGCAATAGCTAAGTGTGTTTATCTCGAAAGTGCTATCAACGAAACACTACGTCTAAAAGGTGCACCCATGGTCCACAAGAGCTGTACTCAAGACACCGTAATTCAACTGGCTGATGATAGAGTATTACCTATTAAAAAAGATGATTCAGTTTTTCTTTTTCCAGAAGCAACCCATTACAATGAACACTATTTTTCTGAACCAGACAGCTACAAATTTGATAGATTCATTGGCAAAACAACGGATACAATCAAAGGTTTGCTACCTTTTGGGACCGGAAAGACGATGTGTCCAGGTCGCCATTTTTCCAAAGGAGAAATAAAAGTATGTTTGGCACTAATTCTTTATCTTATTGAATATGAATTTATTGATGCAAATGCAAAACCAAATATTCAGAAAAGTCGAATTGGTTTTGGTATAGCAATACCTGATCACGACGTGTCTATTCGATATCGATACAAACAGTAGGAAAGAAATCTTGAATCGAGAAAATTTTGTTTGTGTTCGATTTTTTTGATAACATCGATTATGAAATCGATTCATCAAATTCTTTAAAATTTTTTTTTTCAATAATAAAAACTACTCTGAGTAATTTAAAACTTGAACAACCAAATGTTGTGGATATGGATGTAATGAAGAGTAAGAATTCGTTTTACATTTACAACCATATGTGTATCTATATACTGGGCAAATTTGGTAAACAAGACTGTTCGAATCATAACAAGTTCTGTATTAATTGAAAATGAACAATTCAACAAGACAACTATCCTTTCAAAATCATTCAAGCCAATTCATCTTTAATGATTTTTCTTTACAAATAAAGACGAAAATAACTCAATAGTTCTCAAGTCTTTTTTTTTTCTGCAATGCTTTTCTTCATTCACAATATGAAAATGATATAAATACCATGTCGTATAATCATGAGTTAATATAAAATTTATAATTCATTCATTCATATTTTCATTTTTCTTCTCTTTTCAATACCGATTCAGAAATAACAAAACAGTTTTCTTTTGATTTGAATCATTGTGGAATATAATTTGTATTTGTACATTCAGGTAAACTATTCTTGTCATTTCTAATACATAAATGAATTAAAAAACCGTTATATAACGATGCCTAGAACTAAATACCGTTTCAATTCATATTATAAATTGTATAACATTCATAAATGTAATTATTTCGCAAAGATGCAAACCAGTATATAATTATTTCTTTTTTATTTTTTAATAAAAGCTTCAATTACTTAGTATATTTTATATGCGATTTAAAATGAATCTTTTGAAAGAAAAACATTTTCTTCACTCTAGTTTCAGATAATGTTGCTGTATCTTGTTGTATTTCTACATTTGATCGAAATTAATAATGCAATTACAAGTCCAATTCTACCATATACAACATACAATCATTCAGTTGAACTTAAAACAAATATTGCCGATCTTTGGTGGACAACAAATGAACTAAAACAAGAAATTCTTTTTGAACTACATATTCATACAACAGGATGGATTGCTTTAGGTATCAGTCCATGTAAGTATCTATTTTAATAGAATATTAGTTTCCAGTTTGTTTTATTTAGCTGGTGGAATGAATGGTGCTGATATTAGTGTTGGATGGGTAGATCAATTGGGTAATGTATATATTCAAGTATGCATATTATTCTTTAACTCAGTTGGTTTTTCTTATATTAATTGATTCTATTTGTCTTTTTAGGATCGATATGCATATAGTACTATAACTCCAATTGTGGACAATACAACACAGGATTGGTTTGCACTTCAAGGTCGTGAACAAAATGGTTGGACAGCAATTCAATTTAAACGTTTATTTGATACATGTGATACAATGGATGTATCAATTAAGGTATGAATAAGTCAATTATAACTATTCTATATTAATAATCTTATCAGAAAAGAAAATCTAAATTACTTCTCCTCTGTGTAATTAATTAAATATTCTGATATTTTATTTTTCTTTCATTTTAATATTCATAGTCTGGAACAAATAATCTTATATATGCTTATGGTCTTATCGATCCAATTAATGATATAACTTATCATGAAACACGACGAGGTTCACGTACATTGTCTCTTCGATCTTATAATGATCCACCATTAGAAAGTAAATTTATTCAATTTGATTATATCGATTTTCGATTAAATAATGTTAGTCTTTTCTTTTTGTTTTTGAATATATATATTATAGTTTAATTCTAATTATTTCTTTAGTATATCATTCCATCCATAGATACAACATATTTTTGTAAAATATACAAAACACCAACTAATTATTCATCTAAACGACATGTGATTGCTGTAACTATTAATATTTAATAACTTTCTTGTTTTTTTAATCATTTTGTATCTCCTGCAGAATAAATTTTTAATTGAATCAACTAATCAAAATTTTATTCATCATATACTCATGTATGAATGTAATTCTATGGTTCAATTTAATGATTCAAATTTACCCGAAGGTATATGCCATGATATCGAAAGTCAAATTGAACTATGTAGGATTAATATTGCTATTGCATGGGCAGTTGGTGGTGATTATGTAAGAATTAATAACAGGGATTTATTTTTTCCTAAATGATAATCTATACATTTTAATAGATGACTGAATATCCTGAAGAAGCTGGTTATCCAATAGGTGATAATTTTCAAATAAAATACTACTTGATTGAAACTCATTTTAATAATCCAAATCAAATATCAAGTATATAGAATATTACTTGATATTTGATATTGATAAAAATGTTTTTTTTTAATTTAATTTTAGATATAACTGATAGTTCTGGTATTCGATTTTATATTAGTAATCAATTACGTCAATATGATATTGGTTATTTAACATTTGGTACAGATATAATGGCAACTAGTCTTGCTATTCCACCAAATGTTCAAAACTTTATAGTTGATTCATATTGTCCAATAAATGCAACGGTAGTTTTTTTTATAATCTACGATTGTCTGTGTTTCTGTTTATAATAGATTATTTTATTATTAATCTAGAATATTCCAAAATCTGGCATAACAGTTATATCAGCATTTCCACATGCTCATTTACAAGGTAAAATAATAAATAAATTCTTTATTAGAATTATTTGAAATATAGGTCGAAGTATTTCAACAAAAATAATTCGAAATAAAACAGCTATAAAATATTTATTTAATGGTGAATTATTCGATTTTAATTATCAATTTGAACATCGTTTTACACAGCCAATTAAATTATATTCAGTAAGAAATCAATACTTGTTTTGTTTTGTTTTTTTCGTTTTTCATATTCAATGAATATTTTAGGGTGACGAATTTGCGACTCGTTGTGTTTATAATACTATGAATAAAACGCGTATTACATTAGTAGATTGATTAATAAAAATTTATATATGATATATTAAATTTTGTTGTTTGATTGTTAGGGAGGTGAAAGTGTACACGATGAAATGTGTCTTCATATATTTACTTATTATCCTCGAATGAATGATACTTCTATATGTTTAAATATGATTTCTATTTTTTCATGGCAAAAATTAATGAACAAAAACTTATCGTAATTTAAAATGAAACAATAATATATTACTGTTTTTTGTTTTATTCTTTAGATTAAATTTTAATCATGAAGAATTTAAACAATGGTTAATGAATATTAATTGGACATCACAATTAGCTACTCAATGGCAAGAATTTTATAATAATGCTTCACGTTTTGTCTTGTTTAATGGACCAAATAATCTTGAAATCATAACATTAGTTCAATTGCCAAAATATGAAGATTTTAAACAAAATGAATGCAATAGAATAACAATCAGTAATAATACGATGAATATTATTCCTAATTTGAATACGATCATTTTCTTAGCAGTACATTTAATAATATTAATAAAATATTTAATGATTTGAAAAAGTAAAAATATTAAATAATTTCTTTTTTATGTCTAAATTATGTTATTAAAAAAATGAGTGATACTAAAATTTATCTTTGCCGTTAAACATCATGTAACACTATCAATGTTTTGACAAATACTGTACAAAGAAAATATAATGAACTTCAACTAACAACATGAACATTTTTATAGTCTGATCAGTATAAAAACAAAACTTTGACTAAAATTTCTAACACTACGTATATATATATCATGAAAGTCTTTAATAATAACAAAGTTATTTCGATAAAAACAACCAAAACTATATGCTAACTACTACTCTTCAACTGTACTTGAGCATAATGAGCTGATCTATGGTAGACAGAAGATGACACTCAATAACAAAAACTGACTTTTGAATTAGATATGAAATTAACAATCATGATGATTTACTTTGAGTATTAGTTCGTGTATATCATTTTTTCAAAATAATTTCTTCTTCATCTCAAACTTTTTATGTTTATCACATATAAGTAGTGAAATGAACGGTTTTAGTATTGGACTTGTATGAATTAATCAAACAGGTCCGAGTCATTTTTAAGTATATATAAAATTCTCATTTCTTTTTCTCTTTAAATAGAATTTTTTTTGTTTTCCAATTCAGAGAGCGATATGAGTTTAATACTTGGGAAACCAATAATTGATAACACTACAACAGATCCATTTACACTTATAGGTCGTGAACAAAATGGTTAGACAGACCTATTCAATTTCAAGATTTTCTTGATACTCATAATAGCCTTCAATAGAAAAGTACGTGATTATATATGCAACCGGGAAGCAGAGGAAAAATAAGAGAGAAAGAGTCAAGGAGAAAGAGATAGTCAATGACACACAGTTACAAAGAATGTGATACAACGCATGCTATAAAAAGAAATGACAAATGGAGGTTGAATATGAAATATGAACAATCGATTCCACCAAATAGCAAGAGTAGATAATTGTACGCAATAAACTTAACTCGAAATATCACAACAACTCAGGTCATTTTTATCTAATTAATGGTACTGATTTGATCTTTTGAACGATCCATCCTTTAATTTCTGTTAGTTTAGTTTGAAGAATATTTTTTTGATACATTAGCAGTAATCAATTTTATTTAAAAAAAACTTAAATGTACCAACAAATTTTTCAATATCAGTATTTAATTTAATTTTAAATTTACTTCTAAAGTAAAAAATTATCTCAAGGATAAGCATCATAATGAACAATACGATGACTGATTTCATTTTTTTTATAAATACTCATTAGGTAGATTCATGTTACTGTTTATTTATTTTGGTATATGAGTGAGGAAAATATAAGAGATTTTAAAGAATTGATGGGTTTTGTGTGATTTTTATTGAACATTAGTTTGGTTGAAATGTTGTATTGCTCTTTGTGGCATGATAGGATATTGAAGCGTTGAACTTAGGAAACATTTCAAAATTTTTGCCGTTCGGCCAGCCGCTCTGTCACGGCATAACTGATTTTTTTTTAATTGCATTTTGACATTTTTTTTTCTTTTGATGTATGTAGACATATGCACGAAGTGTATTTTTCTATTTCTATTCAATATTCTTTAGCCTTAGACTATTTATTTTCTCCAAAAACAATGAACTTTTTAATTCATGATAAGAATTTCGTCCAATTTTATTACGTTAAAAACGTGATAATGATATTTGTCTCATTCTTTCTTGAGACTTTTCTTTTGTTTTGAAAATCAACTAATTGTAGCCTGGCATAATAAAAACTCTTTAAAAAGTATTTGAAAATTGGATGAAACGTATTATAGATGAATTAAGTTTATAGAGAATAGCTTGTGTCAAACTGAATATGTAGTTAAACTGTAGTTTATGAGAAATAAGAAAATAAAATAGCATCCATTCATCTTACTCTCTTTTGCAGTCGCTTGGACAGCAGTATTAAACGAAATATAAAAATTTTTTTTATAATGGATGGAGAACTTGTAGTCTTTTATCCCTTCCATACACCATGTCTTTTTGAAACAGTTTATATCATTCTTGATATTATTTAGCTTCTACATCTTTTCAGTATTATTCATATTTTTTTAATAAAAAAGAGAAGAACATCAAAAAGATCAAAAGAGAGAAGAAAAAGAGAACATGATAAGAGAACATTTCCTCTGCTGGCCAAGCGACTGAAAAAGAGAGTAACATAGATGAAAAAAAGTGACTGCCTTTGAAAACAAACAAGCTAGTATATATTATTATTTTCTTATTCAAACGCAGATTCATCACTATCTTCAACAATTTCTGGAGTTTCTTTGCTTAATTTTTTTAGTTTTGGACATTATTAAAGTTAAATAGATAATCACAAAATGTATGATGCGTATGATTTTTGTGAAATGATGATTTGTCATAATTATTGTTTCTTCTGCTGAGAATAGTTTCTTTTTTTGAACACTAGATAGACTTATTTGTTGCATTGTTTTGATGATCGTATCCCATTCTCATGTGATGAGAACTAATTAACAATACATACTGGTATATTTCTTGTTACAGTTTTTCCTTAATTGGCTTAACTTGTATATACGTAAAATCATGGTCACATTAGAAGACCCCACTCCGCATTTAAAGGAGATCAGTTCTCGAAGCAACGATGCTAAAGACAGATTTGAAGACCCATCCACCCGCTGAAAAAGACTTATCAGAGGCGATGGGTGAGTCTTCTAATCGGCCATTAGCGTTGTTTATTTAAGGGGAGGTCCCTCTACATTTTGAGAGAGGGGGTCTTCTAATGTGTCGATGGCTTTATATCCCGATTGACCGAGTTTATATAATGTGTTAAAGAAAATAATCAGCCGTATTTTCTATACAAGAATGGATGCTATTTTATTTTCCTATTTCTCATAAACTAAAGTTTAACTACGTATTCAGTTTGACACAAGCTATTCTCTATAAACTTAATTCATCTATAATACGTTTCATCCAATTTTCAAGTACTTTTTAAAGAGTTTTTATTATGCCAGGCTACAATTAGTTGATTTTCAAAACAAAAGAAAAGTCTCAAGAAAGAATGAGACAAATATCATTATCACGTTTTTAACGTAATAAAGTTGGACGAAATTCTTATTAGGAATTAAAAAGTTCATTGCTTTTGGAGAAAATAAATAGTCTAAGGCTAAAGAATATTGAATAGAAATAGAAAAATACACTTCGTGCATATGTCTACATACATCAAAAGAAAAAAAAAGATGTCAAAATGCAATTAAAAAAAATCAGTTATGCCACGGCAGAGCGGTAGAATGGCAGAGCGGTTGGCTGAACGGCAAAAATTTTGAAATGTTCCGTAATGATACAGCATTGAGTTTAACTTAATACTGATTTTAAAATGATTGCTGTACTTTTCATATCCATAAAAAATCAAATAATGCTAATCGTCATATTGATGGGTGTGAGTAGCCTCTTTGCTCCCACATCCGACATTCAGCCAGTACAATATTTTGGCAGATCATTTGCCGACTTGGTAAAGATGAATCTACATCTACTCACTCCATAAAAGATATCGCTCATCGATTCGTAAGACGTGAAACAGATATTCTTAAGAGATGGAAGAAACTTTTTCGAAACACTACAATTCATCGTCTGCTTGGCAAAATACATTCAGAGAGTCAATATTGGAGGGAATCCATGATATCTCTTTGACATCAGTTAGGGCAGCTATTCAATCGTTCAAATCTAGTAAAGCTGCTGGAGTTGAAAGAATAAAGCTGGTAATGCTGGCATCGTGCAGTTCTTGTAGCATATGTTGGATCATTTGCATCGGTTGTCTAATGTGAAGAACTGAAAGAAAACATGTAATAGTCAGATGATGATCTATTTTAAGCTGTTTGTTAATATATCGAATGGCGTAGTTGTTGTGAAAAAATATAGTTATTAGTCATCATAGAAGAACGAATTTGTTTGTATTGACTCACTCGTCTACCTATCTTCTTCAACACACCGCAAACAAGAGTGAAAAAACCGTACAGAATAGAAAGAATTTCAATTTTTTTAGTTTGTTTGTGCTTTTTACTTCTTTTCTTTTTTCTTTCTGACTTATTTCTCTTCCTTTATTGAAGACTGATGAAATGTTTTTTTTTATTCTAGAAAAAAAAACAAAGAAGAAGCATACAAATATGTTGTTCATTTTCTTTAAGATTTACTGCTATAACACTCATTTATTGGTACCTTTGAATTTGATTACATACGGTTGTTCGTCAGTTGCGATCAACATCTGCAAATCATTATCGTATGGGAATTTTTTGAATCCATTTAAAGAACGAAGCATCGATTGTTGAATAAAATTGTTTATTTCTCTTTCTTTTTTTAATTAATAATTTCGAAAAATGTCGCTCAATTCTATTGTCAAATCAATTTCAAGCATATCTCTTAATGTGACTACAAAAGACAATACGACAACATCTGGCAGTTACATTTTTGCTCCGGATGGTATTATCCTAGCGTATCCAGAAACTGATGATGGACCATCAAGCCGTCCAAGTTTAGCTGATGACATAAACTATATTAGACGACTCTTTTTTGGTTCGTTTGTGAAAAATTTTTCAACTCACTAAATTTTTAGTCTAGAAATGACTTTGTCTAAAAAGCTTGTGTTTCTTTCTATATGGAACTTCGCAATTGAATTACTAAAATTCATTTTGTTTGTACCGGTTAACCAATATAAATTCTTTGCTTTACAGAACTATAGATTTATTATGAACAAGCTGCCATTCGTTGAAAGACAATTTTGTCAAAATACTAGCCAAACACAAGAAAAATTTTATGATTGAAACACGTATTGCTTTTGGTTGAAGAAGAGATGTTTACAGAAGGTGCAGAGTCATTCATATGTGAACAATGGCATCTTCACTGTTACGTCATTATCAGTCACTCTCGAAAGTCAAACATACACAGTCGAGCTTTTCATATCGTAGCTGACGATGCCATAAAAAAAGGCAGGAATTGATATGTGAATATGAATTTTTAAGCTTCTTCTGTAATGCAAAAGGCTCAGTTGTTGATTTCTAATCGTAAAGTAGTGAAAAAATTCAATTTTTAGAGACTCTTGGGGAGTATACCGAAAGTAGTGACGGTGACCTTTTACTGTCATATAATAAGCTTGAAAAAACTTTCTTTTTGTATAAAATGATAATAAAAAGTTCATATTGTCTATTGACTAGAGACGATAGACTAGGATATAGTCACGGGTGAGCATCATTTTGTATAGTTTAAATAACAGAATGTTGCTTGTTCACCCGAGAATCAATGATTAGTCTGATTTGAAAATAGTTCGACGTGCGTCATGACTCTAATATCAGATTTATTTGTGGACGATCTTCTTAGACAAGATTCGACAATTTTTATATAATGCTATGGTTACAAATCATTGTGATGTCTTCCACAACGGAGGTGACTCTGTTCTATCTATGAAGCTGTGAGCTAAGAGACACATATGGACCGCCTTCAACCGATATCATAACTGTTAGTTTTTTAATCATATTTTTCTTTTACGCGTGAACACTTACGAGCTTATGAAAATGCCTCTATGCTTTCTTATATGACCAAAACTCCTGAAAGTCTAGAGAGATGGCACTACAAACTTAGACAGTAGCAAATCAAAAATTGAGAGTATTGTTTAGTAGAATTATTCCTTTGAGTATTAATGTTTGGTACATTTCTTTTCTATAACTTTTCTAGAATTCTGTTGAACAATCGTTAATCATGTTTTTAGTCGTACGTTTATCGATGGAAAAGAAATAAGCGCAATGTATAAGAGATATGCTCAAGTTAAGTCATACAACATTAACAAGTGTTTAGAAATATATTGACAGTTCCACCGTAATGAGAGATAGCGACATCCAGTCGGCCATCTTCATTGAAGTCATGCACAGTTAACGCTAAAGGATTTGCATCAGTGATAAAAGTGTTTGTTGATGCAAAGGTCCCATTACCATAACCAAGAAATACACTCATATAGGTAGAATAAGTGCCGATAATTATAATATCGATATAGGTGTCGCCATTCAAATCACCAACAGCTACTTCATACGAACAATCACCAATCCTATAATTTATTTGTGGTCTAAAGGTTCCATCACCATTGTTAAGTAGTATACTCATCGTTTTGTCTCCACAGTTGGTAGTAACAAGATCCATGCTATTATCACCATTGAAATCTCCGATAGCAAGACCCCACGGACTCGTGCCTGTTGGAAACGTTCTTCCTAGTCGAAAACTACCATCCGCACATCCAAGATGGACACCTACACTGTTATTGGCCCAATTAGCGACAGCAAAATCCAAGTTATTATCATAATTGAAATCACCAACACCTAAAAGTGTTGGAAACATGCCAGTACCAATAGTTGTCTGTGGTCTAAAAAGTCCATTACCATCGCCTAATAGTATGCCAACATTGATCCAATAATTGTTAGCGACAGCAATGTCTAACACTTTGTCACTATTGAAGTCACCAACAGCGATTCCATAGGAATTGTTACAAATTGGAAAATTTATTTGTGGACAGAAAGAGCCATTGCCCAATCCGAGTGATACTCCTAAACTCGAATTCGTATTGTGGACAACAGCAAAATCCATATTACCATCCTGATTGAAATCATTGGCGACGATGTAGACTGGAGTGGTACCAGCTGGAATAATCATTTCTGTTTTGAAGCTTCCATTGCCATAACCAAGAAATACACTAACAGTATTACTCATATAATTCGCAACACTAAGATCTATGTGATTGTCATTATCAAAATCACTAGCAGCAATCGAATGACAGATTGAACCAGCTCGGTAGATAAGACGTGAGGCGAATGTAACTCCACGACATCGTGGGTCTAAAAACCGAACAAAAACATCGAGCTCAGATTAAGTAAAATTTCGATAAAGCGTAGGTCAAGAGAGAAATCTGTATGTTCGAATACACTTCGATTGAATCTAAAATATGGTGGCACTACCAACTTACATTGATGTCTAATCACATATAATAATCTAACTTAGGTTAGAAGTATAGCAATGAGATCCATCGTGCATGACTATATCATAATGTAGAAATACTCTGTATCATTGATAGAAATTCATCAATGAGGTCCAATATCTTGTGTTAATAAATATCTATCGTCAAATTCTGGAAAGTTTCACTGTGAGAACACTCACAATTTAACAAATAATCAGATGTTAATGTTGGCTATTACTATTAAGTTCATCTATTCAATAGCTTCTCTATCAAACTACGATTATATGTACATTTGGAACGCACTATCGATCATGAGCATAGATGCAGTATAAATTGGGAATCTGATATGATAATTCTACGTACAATAGCGCCACAATAGAGTGAACCAAGAGAGGCTTTTCAATCATATAAAAAGCTTTTTGATCTACCAAACACGAAAGTTTGAGAATGATTGGTTATTCGTGAATAATGTTGTGGAAACTTTTTTCACAAAGAGGTCTGTACTACGCAACTATGTATAACCAGTCATAACTGCTCTAGAGATCCATTTCATCATAGACAATGTTGGCTTTTCCGTTTATTCTACTGTAGAACTTTGCTAAACAACTTTCTGTGAATACGATACAGATTCACGGCCATACTCCTACGCATGTGAATCCTACAGACTACTAATATCTCTTGACTTGACTAAATATGTTTGTACCTAGAATCGTTCAGTCATTCATTCTCTATATTTGTCTCAACTACGTTTTTTGAAATATTAACTGCTTCTTGCAGTCGTATCCATTGTTGATTCATTCTACAGGCTTTGCTGTTAATCCGAGTAATGAGAACTAAACCGAGAGGTGGCTTCTCTAAGAAAACGAAATATCAATCGAAATTCTGCGAATTGAAACTCAAGAACAAGATAATTGTAAATTCACTAACTTCGACTCGTCACACTTGCACTGGATGTCAAAGCTCGTGCTTCCGTCATTTGTGTAGACGATGTCAAGTTTTTAACCGACACTGTTGATAAAACATCCGCTGTGCAACTATCTGCCATTTTTGTACACGAAGTGTTGTTCATCCAAGTTAATATTGAGGCTGCATCGTAACAGGTAGTCATCTTTGGTGTCGTTGAAACGGCCATCAAACTAGCCGACATCGAATTTGTACTAGCGCTTATAAGTACTACTGCCCTGGAGACTTCTGTATTCATTGCTGTTCTTTGTGGTTGAATTGAACTAGCCATCACGCTCGTTGACATTGAAGTTCCACCAAAGGTTGTCAGTACTGGCACTGTGGAGGCTTCTTTGTTCATTATTGTGCTTTCAGCTGTAGACGAATCGCCCACAGGTTCTATTCCTGTTAAAATTGAAACAATGATTGGCAAAAAATGTAGTTTCGTAGAAGGAAAGTTTGTTGTTGTTTGTATCAACATGTTAGAAACCGTTTCTAAAGTCGATTATGAGTAGTAAATATTATATGAGGTTTTCGGTCTAATGGCTAAAGAGAAACGGTTCATAAACCCTAGTGTACTTGCAATAATTTTTATATATTGGTATATCACAATGTTCGTGAGTCACTCGCCTACCATCGGTTATACTAGCTAAGAACAAGAACAAAGGTATTCCTCATGATTATTGGCAACGCTAGTGACATAGCAATCGTAACACGTACGAAATAGTATGCCAGTGATGCATTTGATATTGTTTTAATATTTATCCAATATGTTTGTGTATATGAAATTGAGATGCTCGGCAGAGTTTTTTTCGAGAGATCTTTATGAATACCCTGTGAAACCTTTTTGCAAAAATAGGTGGTACTGGCACTGTTGTTCATATGAGCATGTTTGTGTAAATTGGAAAAAGGGAATCAATAACTGTTTCTCTTGCTTCTTTTCTTTATGCTCTCATACCAGTTTCAATGGTTGTTATGGTTGATGATAATTTTGGACGACCGTGAGTGAATAGTAAAGTTATGATCGAAATTATTGATACTAGCATTATTCCGACAATCGTTCCAAATATGTATTGTGTTCGTCTTCTCATAGTACTCATTCGTAAAAAACAATCAGAAAAAGTAAATAATTCATATAATGGCTAATTGAATGCATACTTAATGTTAATCATTGTTGGTGCCGATAGCCACTCAGTAGTATCTTGGTCGGTAACACATGATGTCGAGTTTTCGTACAAATACTAAACGTAATAATTGCACAAATTTTAGTTTTATATCAACATAGTAGGACATAAATAGAGTCACTAAGTAGGTAGTAGTAGCATAGCAGTACATTTGACTTATTGATGCCATTGATTTAGGTACGAACTGTCATATTTTTTAGGAAGAAAATCGTTTTCTGGAAAATTCAAATCCGTTTGGAAATCCTCACATTTTTGAAAGTACCGATTTTGACACTGAAAGAATCTTAGAATACCTTTCTTTTCCTATCAGAAATCTCACAGTATTTACAAAAATCTTAAAAGTACTACAGAAAAGTAATATTGTCAGAGAAACTGACGTGAGTTGGTATCGATATATTTGTTTGATATCCTGAATGGTTTCCGAAGTTTTAAAAATCTTCATAATGCTCTACAAAAAATGGTGATTAGAGTCCAAAAGCTTCTTGACAGAACATTTTTGGTGCTCGAGTTTTCTTTTTTGATCTGGGTTTTTGCTGACCTCTAGAAATTTTTTTTAGTGAACTGAAAACAGCTCATATAGTTAGCATAACTGATTTAATTACAAATCAATATGTCTTTGCATAATAATCTTTTGAAATTTGAACCCATTTCATACTTTCGATATGATCTAATGTTATCTTTGCATTCTTAACTTAGTCTTAATTTTAAATATATGTAGAAAAATACTATGGTCAGAATTTGCCAACGAATAATATTCGCAGCGTAAAAATTATATTTTTTTTCATGCTGTGCTACATTAAGTTCCAATCAAATAACGATTAAGTATAAGCACTATGGCTTTTTAAAGTTGCAACGTGTAAGAACATCAGAAGCTTCTGGGCTTTGTGTGTCTATGATAGCTAGTTTATTCCTAAAAATCACACGACTGAAAGTTTTCAAATCAAGCGAAAAACTTCAACTTGAGCGAAAACGTGGACAGATTATTACTATTTATATGGTATCGTAGCGATATATGTGCATTGTTGTAAAAATAGCGATGAATCATGGTTCTAGAATTATTTTCTGTTTTTCGATTTTTTCTTTACTTTTATTCTGTAATCGAATAAAAATGAAAGATTAAGCCTCTAACCTATAGTTTTACAACAATTCACTTATGTTCGACTATTATTCGCTCTAACTGATTTGATCAATGATAGACGAAAATAGTCCAAGAATATTTGAAGATTCTGTAAAGAATACAACGTTGATCTTCAAGATGAACCTTCATCATCATTCATTTCTGATTGGTACAAGCAGAAACAAACGAAGGATCATTTAATAATGATAATGGAAGTAAGGAGGATGGTTTAACGGTTATGGATTATCAAAATAATACTAAACAAATGTCCCGTAATGCTCAGATGTTGCCATCTCAATCAATTCCAACTGATCAATTAACTACTCATAGAAGAAAAGCAGATCAACTATTTGATCCTAATCATTCATACAAAGAAAACACTCCATCAACTAAAAGAAAATCAGAGTTACTCACTGAAAACAATGCTGAAAATAATAAAAACGTTACAACAAAAAGCGACCAAAATTTGCTTTGCCTAACTTTCTCTCGCGCTCTTCTTTCAACATCGACTTGTCTTTGTTTCGATTCTTTTTGTAAAAAAAAGGGTATGAAATACTTTTTTCTTCTTGTAAGATTTTTTAAAAATTTTTGATTCGTTGAAGAGAGTGCATCTGACCAGTATTTTAAAAATAACAATGCGTAAAAAGTTATACTAATTAGTTTTCTATTAATAAACATTTTTATTTCTAAATGTTTTTTTTCTATATTTTGAGTTTTTTTAATGTACGACTGATCTTGTTAGATAAAAAAAATATTCGGTTGACAATCCTCGTTGCTGATGGTAAGCTGAACATGAGTTGAGATTCATATACATAAAATACCAATGGTAAGTTCTATATTACAAATAGCAAATAATTATTTTCTTCTTTACATTTCAGTTCATATTAATAAAACATAAAAGTGAAGTGGTATAAAAAATAATGCATCACTTCATTCTGCACTTTGGTTGTTCTGCTTTCGTTGTTCTAAATAGATCGCTTAGTACAACATTCGATAGAGTTTATTTGACGTCTTTCAACATCTCGAAACCTGCTTATTCGGTTTGAATGTCTCTACTTGACATGTTGCCTGTAAGATTTTCGTGAGCTCAGAAAACTGTAATCCATTTCCAAAATTAATATCCTATAAATAGTCGAACTGTGTATTGCAGAGTTTCCGAAAGTACGCTTTTTTAGAAAGTATGAAAAGCAACTTCATCTATTAAACCGATGACTCGAGAAAATCACGTTAGTTTCGCCTGAAAATTGTAGGATTTTCTAATGGATGTTCAATCCATCAACTTGAAACGTTTCGGGTTGCATTTCTGTGAATTGTTGTTCGTCAAAAATTTTCGGTTGTGGATAGAAGACCGACTAAAATGGGTGCGAGTTTTGAACAATGTGCTATGGGTAGGTACTTGTTTGGGATATCATTCTTATGGTCATCGAAATTTATGGTCATTAATAATAAGAAGTTTTAATTCGCAAGATGATAGTTAGGATGATTCTCTCATAAATCATGTATGGCTTCGAATACATTTGCTAATCGAGATAATGTGGCTTGTACATGTTTGCTTGTAAACTCAACGCTTGTTAAATCTGTTCACTTGCATGATTGCAATGGATATTGATGTTAATTTAGGTCTCAGATTACAATGATATACACAAGATGTTGTAATTTCAACAGTATATAATGTGCATTGTATTCATGTGCAACGTATATTTCATTTGGACTCAACTAAGTATGTCTAACTCAAAGAAAATGATATTGATCCCTAGTTTTTCTTCCAAATGAGTTTTTTTTATTATTTCCGGGCTCGCATAGCGTAAATGATGAAAATTTGTCGTGTTATTGAAAGGGAGAGATTCGTGGATGATGTTGTAATTTCAAAAGTAATAAGATTTTTGAGAGCCACTTCACTACTATGGAAGCATGAATAAGGAAAAAGAATATTATTTTTTGGGTGTATTGATATGAAAAACAATCCCTAGGTTGAACTGCATACAATAATTGACAAAAATTTAGATGTCTTTAATCTTTGAGCTGAATCGATGACCATAGTAAATAGTAAATGGACAGTTTTCATCTTCAAACCAATTTCTAGTTGTTCATATAAGTCAAGATAACATCAGACTCAAACAATATCCTACCATATTAGTCTGGTAACTTGTTACAAAGTCTATATGCTTATTCCAAGTATAATTTATTGAACTTCATTCGATGGTATAATCTAATTGTTAATAGTTGAAAATATGCCCTAAAAAATTCCATTCTAGTACAAAGAATCTTGAGAGAAAGAGTTAAAAATTAAATAAGTTTCAATTAAAATGTCCTCGGTGCAAGTTAGAATTTCATCTTATGATACATGATTGGAAATGAGTGTTGAAGTTTGAAGCAAGAAAACTGAACTCCTAACTTGTTTCACAAACTGTGACAGACATTATTGGATGACTTACATGAATTAAAAAATAATTCAGAAAACATGAATCATGAAATAATTGGAAACACATTATTGAAGATTTAACAGAGACAATCAGGGCGTCAAGATTATTAGGTTAGATTATATAAATAATTTTTCTCTTTAGCCTATAGGAATTCAAGATTGTTTTGTAATTCATTTTTGTCATGAATTTATTTCTAAAGGTGATCATAATGTAAAAGAAGATGAAATAGGTTTGATACACAATGAAATTCTCGTATCATTGAAATTTTGAAGTCTTTAACAGAAAACGTGCTACAGATGTTCGCAAAAATGGCTATTACACTCTAGAATAGGGTTCATATAATCGGCAAATCAATAGATGATATTGAAACTCTTTTGACCTCGTTATCTATGGGACAGCTAATGTGCTACTTGTATTTATCAGATCTCACACGAGCAGTCAATTGTACTTGAACTAGTCTTTAGCACATATTGATGATTATGTGTCCACGAACACTGATGGCATCTTCAAGTCAAACCATTTTGCGTGTGATTATAAGTTTTCTATTCATTCACACCCCACCATGCATTCTAATATCGTAGTTAGGTAGTCGGTTTTTGTCGAGTACTGGTGTGGTTCCTAAAATACTGTTTTTTATCGTTTGCAGTGGCATTTCAGATGAGCAGTACACGCTACATGTATGGTGTTACAGTAGACCATATGAAACAAAACAAACTGATATAGTCGCACAAGAAAGTGGTCCTCTTTACAAATCTATAATTGATACGATAGTAAAACACACAAGCAACGTCTCTAGCAATTCTCAGATCGAGTTCAAATGCTAAGTAGTTAGTATAACACGTTTTGAGCATGACTGTCAAACGAATTGAAAGTTTTAGAAATCATCACAGAAGTGACATGTGAAACAAGTCGCTTACGTTAGGATAAAGATACATATTAGTAACTTTCAAGAAAACTATATGTAGTGTAAAGTAATAGAAGCAGACATATATAGGAGAATAATATTATGGTGGAAGGGATTCGATGCTGCAGTTGAGTTTTTTTATCACAATCACAAAATGGTCACCAGCTGTTGTATTCTCGGCGAGTGTGATGACCGGTGAACTTGTTAGATTTGAAGTGGACGTACTAGATATGATGGTATAAGAGAATATGATTTGTTCACTTATTTCATATATGTACTCATTGATCATTGCATTACTTTTGCATATTGTGTCGTTTCTGTTGAAGAAGTTGTAATTGCAATTAAAGTGAGGAATTCTTTCTCTATAATATGGAAAGTAAACAATAAGGCTCTGAAGCTCTATGTCCGAATCTTGATCAAAATCTTCATCATGCCCAGAATAACCACATAACTTGTTGAGTTCATGAAAGTTCATGCCATTGATAAGATTCACACTATATTTCAATCTGTAACAGATGTTACTAGAGAAATCAATTGTAGAACTGAATGTATCCTAATTTTGGAGAAAATCAACCGAAACTGATGTTCCTGAACCAACAGTTTCAATCAGAGTAAGGAGAACATAGCGCTATTTCACTGTGCAACTAATAATTCCATTAAAATTCGCTTGACTACAGAAATCGTCCCGTGTATAACCAAGTGAGCACGCACCCCATATGTTTGCACCATGCTTCACTGGTAATCCAAGAGTTATATTTTGCATTTCATAGTCAGTTATACTATAAAATCAATTGAAAAGATCATCCAAAAAAACTGGTCCCACAGAAAATGACTACTGCTCATTGTTATATATACAGTTTCACTAACGCCCAACATTTAGGGGTAAAATTTTCTGTGAACCTAGCATAGAAGCTACCTGTAACTATGCACAAAATAAAATCGTCCAAAGAATTATGACCAGTATTGTATATCATCAAACTGGAATTTTCAGTGTCAATACAGTACATTATCAATCGTATTTTTTTAGAAATATTTTTAAAATGATTATTTACACGAGTTCGATAGAGAATACTTGAGAAATTATTGGAATCTAATTAGACAAATCATTCAAATAGATATGGTAATGACAATAAAAAAATTCAAATTCAAATTATTCAATTCTAAACAAATTCAAAGATAATTGCTTTCAACGGCTTTTCCTATGTTCTATTGAAGACAAATAACTAAATTCAACCTGTGAACATACATTTCTTTTAAATTTATTTTTTCTGCAATGAGCGATTCACAGTAAAAGAAAGACAATATAAACATGTAGTGCACTCTACTTAATAAAAATAGAACTCGTAGGAAAATTCAATACAAAAAAATATATTTTCCCATCATAATTTTATGAAATCCATATCTTATGCCTGCTTAGAATAGATACACTTGATCATTTCATAAATTAGAAATTCCATTTTTTCTCAAGTATTTCATTATTTTTGGCTTAATTACCTTGGAAAAGATTTGCCATTCATACCATGGCTAAAGTTATCCTTCACAATAATGCTTCATGATTTAAGTGCATTCCGAGACTATATGTTTACCAATTATCAATAATTTTCTATTTCATTGTTTTGACAATATCACTCTCAACATATCTGACATGTTTTTATCTTTTTCTTAATGCTGGACTCATGCTAAGAAAGTAGCTATTTATACATAAATCAAGTGTAAAGGATCCAATATCTGTGTTAATCGATGTGGAAAAATTATAATCTTTGCTCTACATGTCAACAACAAGAACAAGAAGGGTGTGTGTCTTCTTTTCACCTACATGCCACACCATATTCAACATCTACGAACAATGAAAAAAATAGTACAAATACAACAGACTTTATAAATTAACCAACATCATCATCATCATCAATATTAGTATCGGCTGGCTTTCTCATTAATTACAGTCACACTATAGGCATGTTCTACACTCACAAGCATATCCTAACTACATCGAAGAGAGGAGACGTGGTTTTGTACATTGATTTAAAAATCACCACGAAGCCATAGATGAAAACAGAGAAAAGATACAAGCAGAGAAGATCGAGAAAATAAAAATAGTGATATGATAACCGTTGCAAAATCAAAGTTCTGAAACAAAGAAAAGTATCATAACCTCATCTTCGAGTGCAGAGAGAAAATCGAATGAATTGAAAATGTGTACAGAAGAAGAAAAGAGATTGCATGCATGTATGATAGTAGACATATATATCAACTATTCGCAAAAGCGATATCGTAATAATTGCACTTTATCTACTTTCTTCGTGTTCTAATTATGGCGTATATTATCTGAATTCTGATGGAATTGAGACAATAAAAATAGCTA